CTTTTATTGTTTCTTTGTTCCCAATTGGATATTCATCATTTACGGTTGCCTAACGGCCTGTTTACATTCCCCCAGTCCATTCATTTCATTTCAAACATATAAAAACTAGATAACAACTTGTACATAACAAGTTAGTATTGAATAGACCCGTGAAGGGACAAGCAAAAGTTGCATCCAAGTGGCAAAGACGCCATCCACGACTCTAACGCCCCCATTGAGCTAGTTGATAACGTCTAAGACCCCTCTCATCATACTACTCAGCCTTGACGTCCAAGAGAGACGTAGGTGAGTGTTTGTTTGAGGTTTTTGCAGACTCAGTAGCACCCACGGACCAAAACCCGGCCCAACGAACCACACCCGCGCACACTACCACCCTCCCCCTTCTCTCTGTCTCGAGTCTAGGCGATAGACCCATTACAACGTCCATGCCCTAACTTACTTACTGGCAGTGAGAACTGAAGGGGGTCAACTCTAGTCGATTTTATTACTGAGGTGTAACCTATTTACAAGTCAAGTATATATAGTTACAGTGGGGGCGGGCCCATAAACAACAGGGCTGAGTGGAGCGGAGCTAACAGGGTTAAACATTAGCCGATTGAATATTACCGACAAGTTGGGTTACGGGTTAGCAGAATGGTAGGCGATAACCCAGAAACAGAAAGGAGGGATAGGCCCGAAGGTGGGCTTGCAGGGCAAGCAAATGTATTGCCCAGTGGAGGCGGGGGTGCGCTAGCGGACGTTGGAGCTGTCCAGAAGCCTTTGGGGCTCCGTACTTAGGGAGGTGTAGGTAATATATTGAAAAGAGGGGGCGGTGACCATCGAGGGAAGCGGAGGTGATTGCGGAATATGGGAGCTTTGAGGTTAGTGAGGAAGGAGCGGAGGTAGTCCAGAGGGATCGGAGGTAGTGGAAGTCGATGGCCGTGGATGGATATGACACTGTCCAGGTTGCATAAGGGCCCGCCTCCAGAAGGGCAAACCCATGTCAAGGGGAAGAGGGAGAGTGGTGGGCAACCAACAGCAGACCCCAAAACAGGGACCACTGCCAGAGGCAGCGGGCTGCTGAGTACCTCAGCACCCTATGGGCAAGTCACCCTGCAGGGAAGTGTCCACATGCTATATGAGTCCGCCAAACTCAACAAGCAGCAAAGTCAAAGCTCCTATCAACGTAACAATTGACCCCAACTTCCCCATGAGGAAAATAGTGGGGTCAGAAGTGGCGCACAATGCCCATACACTTGGTGGACAAGCGTGAGCAGGAAGCAAAAGCTTCCAAATACTGGGAAAGAGATGCAAGTCTCCATGCTGGACAAACAGGCCAGCGACCACCCTTCCCCACAGGAAGAACAGTAAACTTACTGTACTCTACACCTGAGCCAAGTGGCTTATCACGATTTCACCACCCATGTCAAGCACCCCACTCCCAAAACACATCTACCACTGCTACAGACACCCCTTCCATGTTTCCCATATTCTTTCCGATTTTTTCAAACCATTCCTGACCACGCACAACCATCAGTTTCCAAATTGGGCAACTGTCACCTGCATAGTCCACCGCTTCCTCTGTATCTCCATCAATTCTCCACCGATCCGGACGAATTTGGTATCGTTGGAAAGCCCTTGTCAACACAAGTCGAACTATGTTACGAGTGACGCATTTGGTTTAGCAGTTGAGGCGATGGCCATGATTCTTTATTTCCTTAACAACATCAATATTTCTTTGATATTGCTTTTTTCTTAAGTGTTCCTTGTGGATCTGTTTCCGTCCTAAGCCCGTCGGATTATTCGGATTCTCACGTATTTCTTTCATATTTATAGTTACCCTCTTTCCTGTATTTACAAAAAAGGACTCCCCCAACAGAGAGAGGTGCTCCCCAACAAGAACATGAAGTTTTAGCAAGAAGTTTACCAGCACCCAGAGCGGCGAATACGAAGCCAAAGAGGCTCAAGAGATAGTTCAGGGACAGAGTTCCCATCAGTTTGATTATCAGTGAGATTTACGAGTTTATCATTTTTATCATATAGCACCGGACCATTTCTCCTCCCCCCTCCTCATCATCCGAGCCTCCCCTGAGCGGTCCCAACTCTGTGGCCCCCTCTCTTTCTCGTTAGGGTGGTAGATCCCTTGCCCCCTTACAACGTCATCACATTCGATGCAGCAATTGGATGTCCAGATGAACAACCTGGAGGAAAACCCTCCTCCAGGGCAATAACTCTACCCTTGAGGAAAGGGAAAGTGACACAGTAATACACCATTGAGGCACCTGTGAAAACACCTTCCCCAACTTGAGGCCTCGCACACAATATTGTGGAACTGCAAGTAACAATTGTGGAAATCTCTACTCCGTCCAACCCACACCCACCACCACTCATGTGTAAACACCACTTACACATGAATCCTCATGGAACAAGTGAGGAGGAATACCAAAGACATATAATCTTTGGGTCAAAATTTATTTTTCGAAAAACTTCTTCTCTTTACCAATGTATTGCTGTTCACTTCAAAGTGACAGCCCCACACCCATTCATTGCCTCAATTTCTCTCACCGACATGTACAAATCATCCACTTTAAAGTGGTGATAACAAAACACTCATTGACAATTTAAAATTCAATGTAAACTTTCTTTCTTCCTCATTAACTATGTATGCATTGCAAATGCAATGCAAGGGGGGAGAATGTCAGGGCAATAGCCCTGAACCCCAAGCCATATGTAATCACAATGTCCATATAGTCACGTGGGTAAGCAGGAACTTCCATTAACCACTTACACACACCGTAATATTCACACCATTGTATCACTTACAGCTCTGTGTGCTGAGCAAGCCCACTGAGACCTCACAGATTGTCACCATTCTCTCAAGTGCCATTGTTTGCCCAACACCACTGTGTATTAGTTAGGGTTGGATGTTTCTTCGCCAAGATACACATTGTGATGTCCTTTGCCTCTGTACTGTCTAGGTTTAGGGGGTTCTAAAAGGTCTACTAGGGCTAAAATACATAAGAGAACCATCCATTCAGCTGTGGAATTAAAAGTGCAAGGGAATATTTGGAACTGGTTACAGTGTTGATTTTAATGTGGCCATCCGGAATAGGAAAAGAGGGGAATGTGGTTGGATTATTTGAAGGAAGGAGTAGGGCATTCAGCAAGAACATCACTAGCATAAACCACCTTACTTCTAACATCACACACTGTCATATCCATCCACAGCCATCAACTTCCACTACCTCCAATCCTTCCAGGCTACCTCTGCTCCTTCTTCACTAACCTTGGAGCCCCTGTATTCCGCAATCACCTCCACTTCCCTCGATGGTCACCACCCCCTCTTTTCAATATATTACCTACATCTCCCTAAGTACGGAGCCCCAAAGGCTTCCAGACAGCCCCGACATCCACTAGTGCACTCCCACCTCCACTGGGCAATTCACTTGCTTGCCCTGCAAGCCCTCCTTCGGGCCTATCCCTCCTTTCCATTTCTGGGTTATTGCCTGCCATTCCGCTAACCCTGTAACCTGACTTGTCAGTAATATTCAATCAGCTAATGTTAGCTCCGCTCTGCTCAGCCCCGCCATTCACAGGCCCGCCCTTGCTGTAACTATATATACTTAACTTGTACATAGGTTTGTCATATCCATCCATGGCCATCAACTTCCACTACCTCCAATCTCTCCAAACTACCTCCACTCCTTCACTAACCTTGGAGCTCCCATATTCCGCAATCACCTCCGCTTCCCTCAATGGTCACCACCCCCTCTTTTCAATATATTACCTACGCCTCCCTAAGTACAGAGCCCCGAAGGCTTCCGGACAGCTCCGACGTCCGCTAGTGCACTCCTGCCTCTGCTGGGCAATTCACTTGCTTGCCCTGCAAGCCCTCCTTTGGGCCTATCCCTCCTTTCCGTTTCTGGGTTATTGCCTACCATTCCGCTAACCCTGTAACCCAACTTGTCAGTAATATTCAATCGGCTAATGTTTAACTCCGTTAGCTCCACTCCACTCGGCCCCACCATTTACAGGCCTGCCCTTGCTGTAACTATATATACTCAACTTGTACATAGGTTACAACTCAGTAATAAAATCGACTAGAGTTGACCCCCTTTTGGTTCTCGTTGCCAGTAAGTAAATTAGGGCACAGACATGTAACTTGGCACAGTGCTCCTGGCATAAGTCGCTGAGGCCGAAGCCCTCCGCCATGGAGACATTCCTTCATCTCGATCTGGTCTCTGACAAGGTTACACTTCAGTGATAAAATCGACTAGAGTTGATCCCTCCTTAGATCTCATTGCCAGTAAGTAAATTAGGGCATGGACATGTAACTTGGCACAGCGCTCCTGGCTTTAGTTGCTGAGGCCGAAGCCCTCCGCCATGGAGATAAATCCTTTGTCTCGATCTGGTCTCTAACACACACCCTTAAAACCCATCTTCAGTCAATTCATTTCCATGCCCCAGTGCATCATCTGTCCCCCTCTTCATCTGTTGGGCCCAAAGCTCAATTGGAATCATTCAGACTGTAGAGGGCACTCTCACCTGCAGCATCAGAATCAAGTGTCACCAAAGGGTGGAGTCTCTGAAAGGTGGTTAAGAGGACATGTAGATTTGCACAGATAAGTTTACTGTGGGTGACTCCTCCTGGCAGCTGTCCAATCTGCATCCATATCTTCATCTTGCCACTCAAATGTGATGTTCAACACTAACACTCTTGACAGAGAACTCCCTTTCAGAATCAGAATCAAGGCATATCATGGATGGAGCTCTCTTCCTCAGCTCTTCCTCTTCCTCTTCAGGGCTGTGTTTGGAGGTCAGCAGGCTTCGATATGTATGGGAGCCAACCATACCTTGATGATTGATCACTATTGGTATCATTAAGTACAGCCAACTGCATGTGAAAGCTGGGAAGCATGCCTAAAACTTACCTAGGTGACCTGTAATCACTATCATCTCCACCCCCACCCCAACACTCATCACTAACCTCTCTCCCATGCAGTGACAAAGGGGCATTTCCCTTAGGGTGATGAACCAGCACTGTTCCCATCTGGCTTCCTCTGCTTGAGAGATTGGGGATGTGGTAAAGAGTTGGGTTGAACCGAATTGGCATGCTTCCTGTTCAGGATTATTGCCTTGGCAGTAATCTCAGGAGCCTTCCCCTTTCCCTTTCTGTCCAGATTTTCCAGCCTATCAACTCTAGGGTTGAACTTGTCAAAGCGCTTCTTGAAATGGTTCTTCCATGAAGTGACAGGATGTTTACTGGTCCAATGGAATTCTGCCTTCTATGTGCAGTTCAGCCCAATTGTGGGTTGGGGTGAGATTCAGAGTAAGAGTAAGTAAGCAGCAACACACACATCCTCACACATCTGCTTAAACACTGTCCAAGCTGTCCTGCTGCTCTGTGCATTACCAGGGATATGTTTGGGGACGTTAATCGCTAGCCATGCAAGCTTCTGCTCAACCTGTTCATCATAAAATGGTGTAAGCATGCTATAAGTGTTGAGTTTGCGAGATTGCTTGCAACAGTCAGTTGTTGCCTCACACTCCCAGTCTGCTGTATGAAGCTGTATTTATTATATACAACATGGTAACTACATGTGATGAATGTGGCTTGGGACTGCATGGAAAAATGAAGGGTTCGGGAAGAAGTGTCATGTCGGGTACAAACCCAACACAATAAATAATGAATGAATAGGGAGGGCTGCTGTAGGCGGGAATCTCCACTACCATACAAACAAGCCCAGAAATCGCTATCCTGACACCCTGACAAACACCCTATACCTGAGGCACCTCATACATGGTCCCAGATACCCTTCCTACCATTTCCCTATTTTTCCCAACTTTTCCAATGCATTTCCAGCCCTACAATCAAGATTCCCATGCCTGTCGATGTAGTGGCCACCCAATTGAGTAACATCTGAAAAGTGTAATATCTCCCATGGGTTTTCATGGGTTTCCATGGGTTTCCATGGGCTTTCATGGGCTTTCATGGGCTTCCATGGATTCTCATGGGGGGCCATGAACACCCATGAACACCCATGGAAGCCCATGAAAGCCCATGGATACCCATGAATACCCATGGGAGTATTATTAGAAGGGTTCATGGATGTTTATGGAGGTCCACAGAAGTCCATGACAGTGCATGAACAACCACATACTTGTCAGGACTCAGCCCTTGTTCAGGGGCAGCCTGACCTCAGAGTTGGGTGTGTGCAGTGTTCTGGGCAGTGGGGCACTAGATCCTGCCTGTAGTTCCTCAAACTCACTGAGGGGGCTTAGTGGGGAGTGAGTTGAGAAGAAGGGCGAGTTCCCTATCCCTGCTAAGCTACTATAAAAGGAAGTGGACTGTGCCAGTTTATAGTGTGACTGCAGGCAAAAGCCAGGTGGATTCCCACAGCTTGGAAAAGGTGTCTCATGGGCTAGGTGACTTTGTTGCCTTGTCATATCCATACATACCCAATCCCAAACTGACTCCCGGACCCTCATCCTCGTCACCTCCAGAGTCCTACCCTACCTCCATCTGTTCCAATATTCACTCCTCTCACCACCCCCCTCCTATTACTCCTCCTCACTCCTCATGTCACCTCCACCCTTCTGTCCCTCCCCTACCCTACTTCCGTCTGCTCTGATACTTGCCTTTGGACCTGACACCATTCCTCCTCCACTCCTCTCTCCACTCCTCTCATCACTCTCCTCCCTCCTCCCCTCTTCTGCCAAACCTCCAGCAAGTTACAACCTTCCACTGCTGTCCCATACCCTGTACTCAGACACCACTCATACCTTCGCTCCGAGATTCTGTCATAGTTCCGACCTCGGACTTTGACTCCACTTTGGCTTTAGTCCATTGCATTGGTGACCTCATACTACATAAACACCATTGCCAACATTCCTCGGACTTTCAACCCTGCCTCCGCAACCTCCGCAACCTCCATAAGCTCTGCAACCTCCAAGTTCCATGGACCTACTCGGCACTTTCACCAATTGTAATGTATCTTTTGTGCTTTCCCCTCATCCTTATTTGGACTGCTGCTTCTCTCCATTTTAACCAGTTAGTCATCATCCCCACTTCACCTCATCCTCCTGCCCCTCTGGGCTTCACCCTCCCTATCTCCTTTCAAATGTACCACAGGTTCTAACCTATGACCTTCAGTGCCACTCCGCTTCCATCATCCCTTTGTCCCTGATCGGATGCCTTTGTTCCAATTCGGACCCCCCTTGACTTCCTTGTGCTTTCATCTCTCTATTATATACAGGCACTTTGTCATATCCGTGCATACCCGATGTTATAAAAATGGGGCCTAATTGGCCCATTTCATAGCATCCAGGTGCAGGAGGGGGCTGTGACATTGAGAAGGTGTTACAATTAATGTAACAGATGTTGTAACAGTGGGGTTTACAATAACATGGACATCAGGTGTTTTGGGTGATAATTGTTGGTTAGGTTGTTATTATTTACATGTCACGTGATATTATACTGCATAGAGCCCATAAGAGGCTAAAAATGGGAAAATCCCATTTCCATAACACCCGACCCCAACCCGACTTCCGGACCTCCACCCTCTTCACCTCCGGAGTCTGCCTGTTCCGATACTCACCTTCGGTCCTGGCGACACACCTCCTTCTACCCCCCACGCCACCTCTACTCCTCCTTCCCTCTCCTCCCCTATCTCCGTCCGCTCCGATACTCACCTCGGACCGAACACCGCCCCTCTCGCCACCCTCCTACTACTCCTCCTCCTCCTACTCCGCTCCTCCTTCACAACACCTCCACCCTCCCGTCACCCTCCTACGCTTCCCCCATCCGCTCCGATACTCACCTTCGGACCTGACAACTCTCCTTTCCGCCACTCCTTCTCCCTTACCTTTCTCCTCTCTCCTCCCTCTGGTACTCTTCTGCTGACCTCCTGCCAAGTTACAACCTTCCACCGCTGTCCCATACTTTGTACTCAGGCACCACTCGTACCTTTGCTCCAAGCCTCCGTCATAGTCCCTACCTCGGACTTTGACTCCACCTCGGTCTTAGTCCATTGCATTGGTGACCTCATACTACGTAAACACCATTTCCAATATTCCTCGGACTTTCAACCCTGCCTCCATAACCTCCGTAACCTCCGCAACCTCTGAGCTTCGCAGATCGCCTTCAGCACTTTCACCGCTTGTAATGTATCTCTCGCGTTTTCCCCTCATCCCTATTTGGACTACTGCTTCTTCCCATTCTAGCCAGTTAGTCATCATCCCCACTTCTCCTCATCCTCCTGCCCCTCTGGGCCTCGCCCTCCCTACCTCCTTTCAGACGTATCACAGGTCCTGCCTTATGACCTCCGGTACCGCTCCGCTTCTGTCTACCCTTTGTTCCCGTTCGGACGTCTTCGTTCCGATTCGGATCCCCTTTGTTTCCTTGTGCTTTGCCCCCTCCATTATATATATCGGCACTTGTACATACTCGTTTTGGGCTCAGTCCGAAATCGACCTGAAATGCCCCCTAGAGACTTCCTGCTCGCCTACTGTGAAATTAAGGACCAAATGGACAAACAGCAATGGCACAGCACTCCGCTTGAGTCGCTGAGGCCAAGGTCCCTCCATGCTAAGTCTCCAATTCCACTCCGGAGTCGTCTGGATCCACCCATTTCTAACACACTTGCACATACTTGTTTTAGGCCCTCAGTCTAGAATCGACCTGAAATGCCCCCTAGAGACTTCCTGCTCACTGCCCCTGAAATTAAGGACGAAATGGACAAACAGCAATGGCACAGTGCTCTGCATGAGTCGCTGAGGCCAAGGTCCCTCCTTGCTAAGTCTCCAGTTCCCCCCCAGAATCATCCACCCTTGCCCAGTTCTAACAAGCCTAACCCATGTGACTTTTCCTGTGGGTCCATATGGTGGGCTCCTGGTTGTAAATCCACATGGGAAAATAGGGGAAAATGGGGGGAGACTGAGGGGAGGGGCTTCAGGGTTGTATGGTCAGGTGGTGTGCCCTGACAATACAATAGCAAGTGGAAATATCAGTTGAAATTGCAGGACTCCATAAAATATAGAGACCCATGGGGACCCAACCAAAGCCTTTATAACTATGGGGCTGAATTGGTCCATTTCCATAGGTATCGGGTGCAGCATAGGGTGTCAGCATAGGGATGATTCTACAGATAATGTGGCAGAGCTTGTGAGAGCTTGGTTTACAATAACATGGTTGGGTCAGGTTTTGTGTGATGATAGTTTATTAATGAGGGGATTAAGGTTAAGGGGAATACAATCCTTACAACCAATCACAGGTGCATCATACATGTGAGGAGCCCAGGGAAAAACATGCATATATCTCCATTGGTTTTGATCACAGAAAAATTTATGTAAATAGTATGGTGAATATAAACATGTCAGTGCTGCCTGTCTTTAGTAACTTCATCATTAATTATGGCAATATTTGCTTCACACTTGATTGAACAATGGAAATCCCCCCCTCTGCTCTGACCATCTGCACATCACTGTGGCAGCATTGAGTGTCAAATCCTTGTAACAGAGCAAAATAACAAGCACATAGAAGCTGTTACATATATGGCTTTTGGGAGTTCATGAGCATCCATGGGTATCCATGAGCACCCATGGGCACCCATGAGAGTCCATGAATTCCCATGGGAGTCCATGAACATCCACAGAAGCCCATGAGCCCATGGAGCATCTATCACTTTTCACAAGTTACTGACCCAATTCCAGGCATATCTCAAGAACCACAGGATGGATTTGGATGAAATTAGTACCATTGGAAAGCTGCGAGCGAGGAGAGTCCATTAGGGCGGTGGGAGAAGGTTGTTGGATGCTCAATTAGGAGGGACACTATTTCCATCATTCATTTTATTGTTTCCGATATTGTTTTCATTGCTTTTATTTGTATTTCCTTTCCATCACTTTCTTTGCTATTCTGTGTCGCCATAGAGGCATATTTCTATGCTTCCCCTTTGCCCTGTGATTTCTCACTTATAGCACACATTTTCATGTATGGTACAGAGGACTCCCCCAATGAGAAGGGACACCCCCACCAAGTAACATGTTGTTTGATAAGTTTAGTGATGCCAGAGGGCGATGTACGAGTTTATACAGTATTTCAGCTTCCTGACAACTGTCCAAGAAGGACCAGGAGTGAGTACTGATTTATTGATTGTTTCCTGGCACCTGGACCATGGCACAGTATCGGCACTGTTGCCACCATCCATCCATTCCCTCCCTCCGACCCAATTCAGACACTACCCCCAGGTCCCTACTCTCTTGCCTGTGCAGCCTTCTTGCCATATTCACCAATACCATTACCCCCTTTCCCCTGACCTGTTGGATACCAATCCAGTCCCCATCCTTTCCTGTTTGCTTGCTGGGTTAGATCCCTAGCCCACTTACATTATTGGTGGTCCTGGGGCTGGGTGTGAGGTCTCAGGGTAGCTCAGCACACAGAGCCATAAGGGATACAAGGGTGTGTATTTTACGGTAGTGTGCAAGCAGTTAC